ATGTTGGAAAAAGAAAGCAGAATGAAAGTGTATTATTACAAAAAGCAAAAATCCTTAGAAGGAGAATAATCTTATTATTGCAATATTGATTTAATTTTTTATTTTAATTAATTAATTGATTTTTTTGTGGGTGGATATGCCACCGATTAAATTTGGGAGAGCGTGTTTTAATTGGTGATAACAATTATTTTTGTTTTGTGTGGATCAGAATGAATAGAGGATCAACGAATTGATTTTGGTATTAGCGAATAATTTTGGTTAAAGAAGATAAAAGTTTATTTAAATAAAATATTACTATTTTATTTATTTAGTTTTATTTAGTCGAAACTAATTAACTTATTACCAAGTTACTTTTACATTAGGTCGAAACCAAGTTCTTTATATACATGTTCTTTACATATTAGACCGAATTGCGCGAATCCGCTCGGTTTGGGCGATAATAGTACGCGAAACGTAACACGAATTCAGATGATAATAACTTTATTGATAAATAAATAGAATTAATAAAAATAAAAATAATAAAAATAATGAAATAAGAATAGATTAAATAATAATAAAAATAATAGTAATAGAAATAAAATTTAATTGTCCCAGAATTAAGAGATTCGACCAAAAGATCTGCGTCAAAATCTAATTCCGGTAACAGATATAATAAAAAATAGTAATTTAATTTTGAGTTATAACCAAGACCCATGATCATCAATTTTGAATATATTACCATTATCAAATAAAGATTCGATTTCCAACTATACATGAAGCAGTTTCGACCTTATTTCGACCCTATTTCGACCAGATCTGCAAATGATCGAAATAGTTTTGACTTCATGTATATTTCTAACTTAACATTGGAATTTAAAATCTTTATAATTTCGTCCCTATTTACAATTAATAAAATTGGTCAATATTTCTAATAGTAATTGATGATGGTGATAATTTTAATTAAAAAAAAATTTTTTTTACCTCCAGGGACCTGGTAAATCTTTTTTCAGCAGACTTTTGATTTTTTTTTGGTCATTATAATTTAATTTATTTGCTGAATTTTTTGAAATATTAAAACTATTTGTAAATTAGTTATTAACAATAGTAACAATAGTATGATAATATAAACATAGTTTGAAATTGATCAAAATCCTTACTCTATCTTATCCTTGCAGTGTAAAACAATCCACTTCATGCAAGGAGTTGATGGATTTTTGGTTACTTGCTATGTATAGCAAAGGTTTCCCTTTGTAGTTTATTAGTTAATTAGAGATAAATATTTTGAGGGTAAAATATGTTATGTGTTTTATTAGCGATAATAATATTATTATTACAAATGTGTTAGGAAGTATTAATTATTAGATCAATAATTAAAAGATTGTTATATGAACATGATGGTTCTGACTTGGTCTAAAACCAAGTCTTTTTATACTTCTTGGGGTATTACAAATAACATGACTTTTACTCTTTTTGTCTAATAAAATATGCTTATTAATACTAAATAAATATTTGGGTCAACTGAGCATTACAAATAATAATTAATAATCTAAAATAGATATTTGCATCAGCTGAATAAGTTCTTGAAATATAAATATAGAAATATGAATATGAAGCATTGAAAAAACGATTATCCAATAAAGAACAAGAAATTACTGAATTAAAAACTCCCAAGAAGTAAGTGAAGAAGAGGAAGTTGAATTTAAGCAAGAAGCAACAGAAAGAATTCATCAAATATTGGTAGACATGAGGGAGATATTTCCTCACTGTAGCAAAAACATTGAACAAGATTTAAGGGAATTGATTAGCAAACCATTAAGACAACAGTTTATGAAGTTCATCAGGAAAATGGGTACAAATATTATATGTATATAATACGCAATTGCAGGGATTAAGCATATAATATATGTACAATTTGCATACATAAAAAAATACACGATTTGTACGCATATTATATGTTTAATCCCTGCAATTGTGTATTATATATGCATAATATTTGTACCCATTTTCCTGATGTCAATGTTTGTTTTCAAGATAACTTGTATAGGAAATATATTATAGAACATAATGAAAACCAAGAACAAATCATTGAAGAAATTGTTAACAATTACTACAAATCTAAAAATGAAAAGCACTGGGAGCATCAAAGTGAAAATAATGCTATCATTGGTAAAATAAGAAGTGGAGAAAACTTTGGAGAGACCTGCTAAAGATATCATTATCAAGGATATTATCAAAAGCAAGATTGAATGAATTAAGGAATTGGAAACAAAGGTGGAAAATTAGAAGATGAGGTACAAACAGAACGAGAAGAAATTAAGAACATCTTAATAGTTGGTGAAAAATGAAGTAAAAATCAAAGAAAAGAACCAAAAATTAGAAATTTCTAGTAAAATAATAATGCAAAAATTAGTAAATTAGAATGAGAACTAGTTCAAGAAAGGGAAAAGGTAGAAACATCTAATAAGATAGTTTCAGAAAAGGATTTGCAAAACAAAAACCTTACAAAAGAAAATGAAAAGTTGCAAAATCAATTAATTACATTTATTTGAAAAGGATTTGCCTGCTTTATCTAAAAAGCAAAGTAAATTTAAGCAATTAAAAACAAAAATAAAAACTGAAATCCATCAATTGGTGCAAAACAAAAAATGCCAAATCCAAGAGTTGGTTGCTAGAATAGAGGTAAACAGATAACTAATGAGAGAACTAACTTACACACTTTTAGATTTAGAAAGAACAAGTCGAAAAACTTGTGATTTTTGCTCCAATCTTTATGGAGAGGGTAATAAGTCTGTTAATCAAATAGTGGCCTGTATTAGAACAAATGGCAAATATGTTGCAGATGATGTAGTTTGTGAAAACTGTAAGGAAAAATTTGAAAATGATGAATTGTTAAAGTGTAATAGGCGTGGTAGATTACAAACCAGACATTACCTTGATGTTATTAGCAGTAAATATATTTGTTTTTGTGTCAAATATGAAGAAGATATGGAAGAAAAGGAACTTCCTCTCTTGCCTAATGAAGAAATAAGTCAAGCTACTTTTTATGAAAGTCAGATAAACTCCCTACAAGAACAATTAAATAAGACTGGAGAAGCACTAGAAATTGAAAGGGAAGAAGTAGCCAAATTTCAAGAAAAATCTGAGGAGTGAGGTAAGAGACAAAAACAGGGATTGTTGGATAGAATTAAGCAATTAGAAGCAGAAAATGAAAAACTAAAAGGCTTAACTAATCAAGAATTAATAAAAGAATCAACAAGTTAAAGGTTCAATTAGCACAATTACAACAACAAAATGGTCAAATAGTTGCTCAAATTGAAGTTAAAAATGACTTTGATTGAAAGTAAAAAAGTGGTTGAGGAAATTTCCCTCTGTATAAATTGAAATTCATTCCAATTATCAAAGAAAATGCCATTTATTTTCCTTTTAAAGATTTTTGCTTTTTATTAGGTAATAATGCATCATCATGAGCTTTCTTTTCTTAATGTTTATTATTTTTCTTTCTTCTTGGTAAGTTTCATAGGTAATCTTTTCTTTTCTTAGATAAGCTTCGAGTGTATGAGTATCATTTATTTTGAAAATGTAAGGAGCAATTTTTTCACCTTGCTCCTTTTTTTAAAATACTTCTAATGGTGCTATAATTCTTGGGTTCCATGGTAGACCTAATGTAAATTAGGTTCATATCATTTCTTTTTATATGGGGGTAGTTCTATATATCATTTAAGAAAAAACAAAGATAACAAATGTGACATTATAAAATCATATTGATGATAACTAAATTTTTGATCCCTGAAATCCTTGGTAATATCAATGTTCACTTTGTTTGGTTTTGTTACAGCATACCCCATATAAAGTTAACTATATAAATGCTTGCTTACACTAGTGCTAGTACAGCAAAAAGATGGTTCAAAAAGATGGGATTTGTTTATTTTAAATTTTTTATGTTGATGGACATGAGCATGAAGATGTTGTTGAATACAGAAAGAAATTTTTAGAAGTCATTGAAGGTAATTTTAATTTTATTCTTGTTTTATATATACAATTAATTAATTAGATTTATCAAAATGACACACTAGTTACCAGAAATTGATGCCTAAATTTACTGGTTATGATTTGGAAATTCAAATTAACCCTGAGTTGGAAGAAGATGAAAAGACACATGTATTGGTAACACAGGATGAAACAACATTCCAATCTAATGATGAAGAAAAATCAGGCTGGAGACCAAGAAATGCACAACCACTGAGAAAGAAAGGTCAAGGGAGAACAATGCATGTAAGTGACTTTTTAACTCAAAAAATTGGTAGACTTAAACTATCAGATGAACAAAAATTAGAGGCTGAAGAGAACTTTCCTCATGATGCTCAAGTCATCATATGCCCTGGAAAGAATGCAGATGGCTGGTGGAATCTTGAACAGCTAATATAGATCAAGTAAGAAAAAAAGATCAATATCAAGATAAAGGATAATCAATAATTAACTAGATTTATTATTTTTAGAT